AAAAAAAAAAAAATAGCCAGGCATTGTAGTGGGCCGCTGTGGTCCCAATTACTTGGGAGGCAGAGGCAGGAGAATCGCTTGAGCCCAGGAGTTGGAGGTTGCTGTGAGCTGTGATGCTAGGGCACTCTACCCAGGGTGACGGCTTGAGGCTCTGTCTTGGAGGGAAAAAAAAAAAAAAGAAATCAGACATTTCATGCTTAATAACCTGATATGAACCGCAATTACCACACTTAGTATGCCCTGTCAGGAGACAAAGCTAGGAAATATATTCATGTACTTATATACATACACACATCTAAACTATCTCTGTGTCTGTTTATGCACAGTAAAATAAATGAGTTGATACTGATGCTTTCAGTTACAAAGCAGTCCATCAGGGTTTTTTCTAGCCTTTCCCCTTTTAAGTACTTTGTCCAGTAATGAGAAATCTAGGGCCCATCATCCTTAATTTACTCATTTGCCGAATATAACCCATCTTCTAACCATGCCAGTGTCTCTTTCACCTCCACATCCTCTCTCTAACACCACTATTTAGTAGACCCATTGTAGACTTGTAGACTTATTTGATAGGAAGGGAAGATGTACAGGGAAGGGCTCTTCCATTCTTAAAGTTAATCTGATTCAGTTAATGTATTTCATTTTGACACAGCAATCCTAAACACTGATACTTTCCTAAGGACAAGTTTGGAAATCCTGATTTTAAGTCATGTTATAACTGTATGCAGACTGGTTCTGTATAGCCAATATATAAAACATCAACAAAATCAATTAACCATTGATCAAAGACTTTGAAGAGGACACAAATAAATGGAAAGATATTTCAAGCTTGTGGGTTGGAAGAATCAATTCTGTTAAAATGTACATAGTACCCAAGCAATCTATAGATTCAGTGTAATCCCCACCAAAATACCAATGAAAAGGCTCAGTGCCTGTGGCTCAACCGGCTAAGGCGCCAGCCACATACACCTAAGGTGGCGGGTTCGAATCCAGCCCAGGCCCGCCAAACAACAATGACAGCTGCAACCAAAAAATAGCCGGGCATTGTGGCGGGTGCCTGTGGTCCCAGCTACTTGGGAG